AAAAGAAGAACCTTGAAGTGCCTCCGTATGGAATTTGTTATCGCATAAATAAAGTGATGTGTTGATTGGTTTGAATGGCTCAAAATCGATGTTCACTTTCTTCTCTTTGCCTTCATCCGTTACGATCGTACCGCAATAAATCACCAGACCATTGGTTGGTACTGAATGACAAATCGTTCGTTTTAAATATAAACATTTCACATTCAATTAAATAAACTCAACAAACATAAATATAAACTCAATCTTACATTCAACAACACGACCTCAATTAATATTCCATCACTTAAGTATTCTTCAAAAACCGAACTACACTACAAACGATACAAAGTAACTCCAACCTTTATTGTAGAGCTTGAGCCTTCCTTGTACTGAAGTGATTGCACCGAGCACAGATAAACGATTCACTCGCGATTTGATGTTTGACGCAGTGCCGTACTCATCTGCTAACATCTTCGAGATACGTGCAATTTGATCACGCGGAGGAATTATCAACGAGATCATTGACGTCCCATTTCTGCAATTCAAAAAACTCTGAATAAACAAGTATTTCGTAATTTCTAACTGATCGAATTTGTAACATAAAAATTTACGACAAATTCCTCAAAATCACTTGATCCTTTACTTCAGTGATAATAATACTCTGACCAATGCTAGATGAATCAAAAACCACTACAAACAAACAACTTAAAATCAAATGATAGATGACATCAATATCAGTCGAGAAGACGAACCCTCTAGCCATTTCAAGACTTTTGATGAGCCGTTTGATCTTCCAAACCTCCACATTACGATCGGCTGAATCCTCGCCGGATCCCGATGGCGCAGACATCGTCTTTCGATACTTTCACGACGAGTCGGCCTTCTCTCGGGCACTTTAGACAACAACAACAAATGAGACGACGATCACCTTAAACAGCAATAATAATATTCAAATTATGCAATGTTTTCATACGAAATACTCGATGTATTCATCAACGCCGCATCTATATACAAATTTTAATCAGATTCACTAAATAAAATATGACTGAATGAATATATTCGCATCAATATAACAAAACTGCATATTTTGTATAATACATACGTCTCGCAATCTACAATTACACACTGTAAATTTAAATTTCACACTGTAATTCATGTAAATTCAACTACAACGACCTATGTTAATTCAACAATTCCAAAAAAATCAACTAAAAATGATTGGAAATAGATCAACTTCTATCGATCTTAACGTTAATCATAGACCCTGACGTGCATCGGATGGTGATTAATTAATGTTATCAAAAGATCACACGCCAAAATTTTGATCTAACAAATGCAAACCTTATTTGCTTTATAGATTCTTTCAGATAATTTGAATTCATGCTAAACGAGCAGATAAAAACTCTAACGGAACAAAGCAATTACTGTAGCAAACTAAGTGAACTGTTGAAATGCATTAACCTCATCACACCGCACTTCAAATAAAAATGGCCAACTCTCAATAATAATCTACCACGAAAAATAAACACAT